TAGCCATTTTTGAACATGGATTATTAAAGTCTCCAACTATTTTTGTGTAATTCTCCCTTTAATTCTGTCATTTCTCTTTCAAATGTTTTGGAGCTCTGTTAGGTATGTATATGAAACTTTTACCAATATACTACTTCATCTCTTGTAACTTTTCTTGATTTAAAATTTATTTTCTGTGCTTTTTTCAAAAGACGGCACTGGAGGTGAAGATGGAAGCTCTTGACTCTCCTAAAGCCGATCACAAAGTGAAGGCTTTAAAGAACAAGGAGGCAGTGCTGAAAGGCGTCCACACAGCCACCAAAAAAGAAGAAGAAGAAGAAGAAGAAGAAAATCCGCATATCACCCACCTTCCTGTGGCCAAAGACACTATGACTCCGAAGGCAGCCCCAATATCCTCAGAAGAGCACTCCCAGAAGAAATAAGCTTGGCCACTATGCCAGCATCGAGTCCCCACTGACCACTGAGTCTGCTGTGAAGAAGACGGAAGACAACAATGCACCTGTATTCACTGTGGATGTTAAAGCCAACAAGCACCAGATCAAACAGGCTGTGAAGTGGCTCTGTGACACTGATGTGGTCAAAGTCAACAGGCCTGAGGGAGAGAAGAAGGCGTATGTTCAACTGGCTCCTGATTAAAATGCTTTCAATATTGCCAACAAAGCTGGGATTATCTCAGCTGAGTCTGGCTCGCTAATTCTAAATTATACACATAACATATATATATTACATATTCTTATGTATAATATATAATTGTATATATTATTTAAAATATGTTACAAATATTCTTCAGAAAAAATAGTGGTTTTTGCCTGATAATATAGCCACCTCAGCCGTCATATAGTTACTACTTTCCAGATGTATCTTTTTCTATCCTTACTTTCAACCTCCTTGTATCCTTATATCTAAAGTGAGTCTCTTAAGAAAGCATATAAACACTTAATTTTTTTATTCCAATCTGCCAATCTTTGTTTCTAATAGAAGAGCTTAGCCCCTTTACATTTAATGTGATTACTGATAAAGGATTTACTTCTGCCATTGAGCCATTTGTTTCTCATGTCTTAAATGTTTTTGATTCCTCAATTCCATTACTGCCTTCTTTTGTATTTGATTGTTTGCAATGTACTGTTTGGATTGTTTTGTTTGTGATGCACGAATTTGTTAGTTTTACTATTTACACAGATTACATCTTACTACATTGTATGTCCATTAATACAGATTTATAATTTTTTAATGAATTTGTCTTTTAAATTATAAGGCACAAAGAGAAAAAGTTATAAACCAATAGTATTGGCTCTTATATTTACCTCTAAAGTTATCTTAACTAGCGCTCTTTATTTTTTCTTATGGCTTCAAGTTTCTGTTCAGTGTCCTTTCATTTCAGCCTGAAGGACTCCCTTTAGCATTTCTGGTAGGGTGTGTCTACTAGTAATGAAGTCCTTCAACTTTATTTGGAAAAGTCTGGATTTCTCTTTCATTTTTGACGGATAGTTTTGCCATATATAGAAATCTTGTTGAGAGGTTTTTTTTTTTTTTCTTCTTTCATGACTTTAGATATGTCATCTTGCTGCCTTTGGGCTTCCAAGATTTTTATTGAGGAATTGGCTGTTAAAGTTGTCGAGAATTCTTTGTATGTGATGAGTTGCTTTTCTCTTGCTGCTTTCAAAATCTTGTCTTTAGGTTTTGACAATTCTAATATAATATGTCTTGGTGTGGATCTCTTTGCATTCATCCTGCTTGGATTTCATTGAGATTTTTGGATGTATAGACTCATGACTTTCATTGGGTTTGGGAAATTTTCTATCATTATTTCTTTAAATATTCTTTCTGTCGCTTTTCTCTCTCCTTTTCTGGGATTCCTATAATGTATACATTAGTATGCTTGATGATGCCCCATAGCTCTCTTGGGCTTTTTTTTTTTTCTTTTTTTCTTTCTCCTCGTTTAAATAATTTCAATTCTCTTCAAATTCACTGTTCTCTTCTTTTGCATGCCCATATCTTTGCTGACTCCGTCTAATATGTTTTCCATTTCAAGGATTGTACATTTTAGCTCTAGAATTTGTTTGGTTTCTTTTCATAATTTCTATCCTTTATTGATATTCTCATTTTTTTCATGCATGGCTTTCCTGATTTCCTTTAGTTCTTTGCCCATGGTTTCCTTTAGCTCATTGAACATACTTAAGATATCTGATTTAATGTCTTTGACTAATAATTCCAATGTCTGGACTTCCTCAAGGATGGTGTCTGTCAATTTTTTTCCCTGTGAATGAACCATATTTTTCTATTTCTTTTTATATTTGTAATTTTTTTGTTGAGAACCGGACATTATGAATATTATGTTGTGGTAACTGAAAAATCTAATTCTCTCATACCTCAGAGATTGCTGATTTTTGCTTATTGAGGGCTAGAGCCAACTATTTCCAACTTTTCCAATTCTTTGTGGTATGGGGGTCAGTGAAGTTTCTGTTTTGATATCTCTGTGATTAACCAGTGACCTAAGATTTCATTAAATGTCTGGCTTGCCGAAGGAGGAATAAAGGAAAAAAATAGACACTGTCTCTTTAAAACCCGTTGTGGCTAGAAAGCTCCTTCTGCCCAAAGGGGTTGAGACAATGATCAGCCTCTGCACTGGCCCCTCGGTGATCAAATGCGGTAATCAGCAATCAAAATATAAAAAGCTGACCTTTTTTTTTGGAGATGGAGTCTCGCTCTATTGCCCAGGCTGGAGTGCAGTGGTGCAATCTTGGCTCACTGCAACCTCCACCTCCCGGGTTCAAGTGATTCTCCTGCCTCAGCCTCCTGAATAGCTGGTATTACAGGCACCCACCACCATGCCTGGCTAATTTTTGTATTTTTAGTAGAGGCAGGGTTTCACCATGTTGGCCAGGCTGGTCTCAAACTCTTGACCTCAAGTGATCCACCCACCTCAGCCTCCCAAAGTGCTGGGATTAAAGGTGTGAGCCACCATGCCTGGCCACAAAAACTTGACTTTCAGAGGACAAAGTTGTTATTGCCCACCCTGGCACCAACAGGCTACACCAGGAACATTTTCCACAGTTTCCTGCTGCAGAGCTTGGGAATGCTGCTATGTGAAACAAACTCATCAAAATTTATAAGCCTCTCCCTCAAGCTCTTCCCTGGAAACAGCTGCTTGAGACAATTACTGCCAGCTCAATAATTGTTTTGGTAGAGGAACAGATTCCTGATGCTGCTACTGCCATCATCCATAACATCCTTCTCCATGTCGGCTTTTGTAACAAACTTGTTCCAACATCCTCATCTCTCCTGAACATGACACCCTGGCCTACTGGTAATCACAAGAAGCATACAGCTGGGTATAACATAAGGACCAACTTGGACAAAGATTTGTAGGAGAGACAATCTGCTTTGCATTTAAAAAAAAAAAAAAAAAGGTCAAACCAGCCATAAAAACCTGCTGTTCTGACTCCAGGGTGTGCTATCAGCTGCTTTATAAAGTAGGCTGTGAGCTGTGGGCCCCAAAGGAGGGGAGTGTTTTGTTGTACTCTTGCTGTATTGAAAACCTGCTGCAGTTGGAAGAGGCCAGAAGGAGCCAGCGGCCCTGTGTACTCCAACCTTGACTGCTGACCAGTGACTCGGCTCCACCAGGTGTTTGCCCTCACTGTGGGCTTTGTGGAGCTCGATTTTGCCTTAGTATGTGAACATAAGAACAGGCTTTCTGCAAATGCTAAACAGATGGATGACATAGTATTCCCCACCCCACCTCACCAAATTATGAGCAGACAAGGATCTCTCTATTTCCTTAACTGAGTAAAGAAACGATAGCATAACTACGTTTCAAATTGTTGTGTTTAAATGAATTTAAAATATTCACAGAAAGAAAAAGAATTTTGTCCTTTTTAAGATATCCTAAGAAAGCAACTGGGGTGGAGGAGCTGGGATTTGCCAGGCCAAAATAAACAAACAACAATGTTCGGCTATTGTATGGAAACAATGGAATACCATCCAGGAAATTCTGTGGGATTGCTGAGAGACAGGGCACTATGGTTGGTCCTGGGGATGAGGTGCCAAATGCAAGGCCCCACATTGAGGCAGCTCATGCCAAAGTCACGAGGAAACAACGTTGCCCAACACCACAGATACTGTCTCCTGTACCCCCTCCCACCATTGCCAACTCAGCTAGCAACACTGCCAATTTGGAACCCCCAATCCCTTCAGCTTCTACAACACTACGGCCTCCTGGCTCTCATCTGACCTTCTGGCTGCCCTATGATGGGGTCTCTAATGAGAACACAAATGCCAAAGAGTAGGGAGGGAAGGGAGAGGCTGGTAACTCAGTGACCAGGAACCTAGAAAATCAACACTTAATAACATAACTTGTCTGTGGCTTCAAAACTATGTCTTAAATAAAAATAATCTTCTATAATACATTTTGATTTCAAGTACAATCCAGAGAAACTAAGAAACAAAATTCAAGTTTTGATTTCATGTATGGCAAAGAAGGAAAGTGATTTTCCATTATGATAAACATTTCTTTTACATCAGGAATAACAAGAGAAACACAAGACAAGAATTTCATCATCAGAAAAAAGCACTTTATGTATCTAAGGATAATTAAAAGCTCTCTTTTTTTTTGTTCATCAATTTGAGGTGGATTTCATCTAATGTCCGGTTGCTCTCTCCTACCCAGTGGCTGTGGATCTGCCTAACTCAAAGGATGTTTTGACCTGTTCTCCTACTGCTAAGAAATGGCTAGAAAAGCTTGGACCTTTTAGGATCACCATGTTCCTTCCCCTGAGCAGGTTTTTTAAAAAAACATGAAACAAAAAACAACTCTCAACCATTTATCATTTTATGTTTCTATGGCTTCTACTGCTAGTTGTCCTCTGAAGCAGCCAGTTAGTGCTGCTGCCAGGCAGCCTTAGAGACAGCAGATGTCCCTGTGCAGTAAATTCAGGGCCCAACCATGAGTGCATCCTCCCCTTACCCACACAGGATAGCCATGGCCCCTGTGGACTCCTTACCGAGCTGATGTCCAGCCTGGGGACTCGATGTGTCAAAGGGCTCTGAGCTGGCCTCAGGGACACTGGGCTCCCACGATTCACTGTTTTCAGACACCTCTGAATAGGTGTCACCCATCCCTTTGTGAACTGCTGTGAGCTCACCAGTACCAAGGCCCTGGTCCTCAACGCCTGTGTCTGCCATGGCTCGGGTCTCCTCCCCCATTTTCTCAGCAAACCACTGCTTGACCTGCTGGGAGCTCATCTGGGTCTTGTCACACAGGTTCTGCAGGTCCTCTTCGTACAGCATCTTGTGTGTCATGAAATAGTCCTGCAGAAGCTCCCGGTTGCCAGGGGCAATGACCAGTAGCCCTGGTGGGAAGTTGCCTCGCTTATAGTCCTCGTACCACTTGAGTTGGCCATTCTTCAGTGCGTACCTGCTGTCTCCAAACCAGCGCACCACCTCTGGCCGGGGCAGACCCGTCTGGGCCATTATGGAGTCATAGTCTTGGTTGCTCGGCCACTGTGTCTGGACAAAGAGCTGCCGTAGCAAGTGCCGCTGCTGCGCAGTCTTTTTGCAGCTCACTTTGCCTGGGAGCTGCTCTGCCAGTTTGTCTGACCCATCATCTTCCGGGTCACAGGCACCCAGCCCTGGAATCTCATTCCTGCCATTGGCTTCAGTGACCCGCAGGTTCTTCAGATTGATTTTAATGGGGCTGACTTTGCGCTCTCCCAAGATATGGCTGCTGGGCATTTCCAGAGAGCCATTTTCACCAGAGACCCTTAGCTCACTGGCCAAATCCTCTTCTCCACCCTCATCCTCAGCAGCCTCCTCTTCCTCCTGAGAGGCATTCTCCTCAGCCTTCTTGGTCTCCTCAGCATTCACTTTTTTCCGTCTCTCTGAAAACCAGCTATCAATTTCTCTTCGGGTCATTTTAGTTTCACTTCTCAGGCGGTCTAGTTCCTCATCAAGAGGAAGAGGGTTTTGTGCAAAACTGCTCTCCAGGGCTCTGAGTTGCTCAGGGGCTCTCTCCTTGTATTTGGTTGGTGTGAAGTCAGGAGTCTGGTGCCAAGATTGTCGTTTGGCAGAAGGGTGGGTTGCTGCTGTGGCTGTTGTTGGGATGCAGGTGACCTCAGGGACCTTGGACAGTGGGGAGAAAGACACCTCTGGCACAGAGTCAACGATGATGGAGCTGTGATCCCCAGGCATCATCGCTCTGGAGCCCTTCAAGTTCCGGCAGTGGTATCTACGATCACTGAACCATTTCCGCACCTCTCTGGTACTGAGGCCGGTCACTTTGGTGAGATGCTCAACTTCGCTCTGCCCTGGGAACTGGTTCCGACAGAAGCTCCCTTTCAGAGCTGACAGCTGTTCGTGAGATTTCTTATTTTTGTAGATGCTAGCATCAAGGAAGGCTTGGGAGGTTATGCTGGGGCAGGCTGTGAGGAGCGACTGGGCTGCATTGACCACCTTCACAGCTGATGTTGTATTTGAACACACAGTGTTAATGGGTGCCACACCTGGCTGCTTGGGGACAGATGTCACTGTGAGGGGGAGAGAGGAACTTGTTGCTTGCACCCCATTGGCCATCAATGGCTGAGTGACCAGAAGTCCCCCTCCTGTGCCCTCTGGCTGCCCTACAACGTGACCTGGGAGAGCAGCCTGGATGAGATGCTGGACATTGCCAGCACTGGCGACCAGTGGGGTATTTAAAACCGTAATTGTGGGCTGAGGCACAGACTGGATGACTGTATTGAACATCTTTTTCCGGGCATCCTCAATCTCCTCAGGGGACCAGCTGATCCCCTGCTTTAGCCTTTGGGCTGTGAACCAGATCTTGAGCTGTTCTTCTGGATACTTGGTCACCACAGTCAAATAGCAGAGCTCAGCTTTGGTTGGGTAGGGGAACTTGTGGAAGGAGTTCTTCAGGAAGCTGTTTGAGTCCATGGCTGCGTTGTACGTTGGAATGCTGCTCAGGGGGATCATCACTTTGGGAAGGGCCTTGGCCGTGGGTAGTGACTGTTGGGCATGGTGTTGGGCATGCACTGGGGGCTGCTGCTGGAGAGAGAGGAACTGTGCTATGCCAGCTGGCAAAACTGGCACTGTTCCTATCAGGGGCCCGTTGGTGGCATGGGGGTTTTTTGCAGAGCTGGCAGATGCCTGGCTGACTGGAACTGCCCCATTGATGAAAGACTGGTCCCCCTCTCTCACCTCCATTTCTCCAGTCGACAGCTTCGGTAAGGCCTCACCCACAGGCTGGCTAGGGACATTCTCCTTGAGAGTATGAATTTTTTTGGCTTCAGCTTTGCCTTTCATTATCTTCATGATTGGAGTTTTGGTAATGATGATTTCTGCCTGTCCATCAGTCCCTTCAGCACTGGGTTCACCTGCTAGGTCAGGAGTGCTGGTGCTCTCAGGGACGCTCTGCTCCACAACCACATGATTGTCTGGCTTGGCCACATTCCACACAAAGCTGGCTTCCCCTGAGTGACACGTAGCATTGTGCAACGAAAGCCCCTCAGGGGTTTTTGCCAGAAAACTGCACCCACTGCATACAAAAGTTGGGTCTTTATTAAAGTCTGTGTGCTCTGAGTTCATATGTCCCACAAATTGGCTCATGTCATGGGATCTGAAACTGCAGTATTTACAGGAATATAAATAGCCATCTAAAGTGCTCCGATGCCCATTGGCTAGTGCAGAGCCATCAGTACTGCTGGGGTTCTGGGCTGCCTCACTGTTGGCAGCAGGTGCTTCTGGGGGTAGATCCTGCTGGGGTCCTTCAGGCAAGGTCTCAGTGGGCTGGGCCTCTATGCTGGCATCCTGCAGCACCACTGTCTTCACTGGGATCATGCATGGTGTGGTGGATTTCCTCTTGCTGGCCATGGTGACAATCACTGGGTGATCAGCAGTTCAGAGCTTGTCCCATCAGGGGCCTCACAATACAAGTTCCAGCTTCCCAGTGAGAGCCAAAGAAACAGTTTCTAAGTGCAGTTTTTTCAGTTGTTTGCAGAAAGCAGGTTTTCCCTATTCAATCTAAGGAAAGGGAGAAAAAAAATGATTAAGTTCTCTTAAGCACTTTCTATATATTTCTCATTCCACTGCTTGCCTTCTACCATCTAGGTCTTTTCACAGTAAATTGAATCAGCAAATTGGATGTAAAGTCTAAGTTACAAACCCCCTAATGACAAAAACTGGACCCTGAAGAATGACCTGGGGATGGTCCAATACCATTTGATAGAATTAAGCAATGTATTTTTGTTTTTGCCTCACCACCCCCTATATATCCTTGTATTAAGTAATTCAGATTAAAAAACAAAACTACCCTCTTTCTGGACCTCCAAATTAATTCTGACCATGTCAGAATGAAAACAAAAGAGCCTAGTATAATTCTTGTTTACATGTTTGGACCAACATGGGTTTTTCTTTTCATAGCCTTCCCACATACGAGAACAAGAAGACGCCTCTGTATCTCCCAAGCCAGGGCCAGGGACCAAGTTAGCTGCAGTGTGTGAACGGAAGGGGTGGGGTGGGCGGGGGTGGCTGGAAAGATTGGCTGCTGTAAGAGCCAGGCCTCTGTGGCCTTTCCTTGCCTGTCACACTTGTTCCAGGCCACAGTAAAGGGATCAACTCGTAGTCACTGGCTGTATGTACCCCAAACCACTGTCACTCAGATGAAGCCAAAGGTCAGAGAGTCAGGGAACCCACAGAATCAGTTTGTGGGCCAGCAAGCTGTACATTCTGTATCTGTGTACAACAACTCGAAGTGTGTTCCCACCTTGGGCACACAACCTTGTACTGTGCTTTTTTTTCCATTATTCTTTTGGGTACATTTATTATTTCACAAAAAAACTATTACTGAGCTCTCTGAAACTTATTTCATTTTATTTTACTTTTCTGAACAAGGTCTCCCTCTGTTGCCAAGGCTGGAGTGCAGTAGTGTGATTATGGCTCACTGTACTCTTGACCTCCTGGGCTCAAGTGATCCTCCTGCCTCAGAGTAGCTGGAATTACAGGCATGTGCCACCACACCTGGTTAGTTATCTTTTGTAGAGACAAAAAATAGTAGTAGTGAGGGTCTCTCACTACGTTGTCCTGGCCAATCTCGAACCCCTGGGCTCAAACAATCCTCCCACCTTGGCCTTCCAAAGTGCTGGGATTACAGGCATAAGGCACTACGCCAAGCCGTCTTTGAAACTTATTTCAAAAGCTGGGTTAATTCATTTACTTACGTATAAAGTAATTGCAATAATTGTTTCACAAGATGCCATGAAAAAAGGGCTTCTGTGGTCCCTATTACTAATATATAATAATCATCATAACTGCTTTTCTTCTTAGCAAATTATAATGCTGTAATGACTAAAACAAATTCTAATAATAAAATCAAGTTAGGAGTATTTGGATTTGATATAAAAATATAAAGAAAATTAAAATATCTCTACTCAAATTCTCAGTAAACACAGCTAACTAGTTTTTTTAAATTTACAAACCTAACTTTGATAATTATGATAAAAATAATTTTAAAAAATTTGAAGGTAAGGATAAACATAAATCCAATCTAACCACTTGTCACCCTTTCCCCCACCAATTTGAAATATTATGCACACATTTTTTACTTTTTTAATTTTTAACTATAAAGATAAAATATAAATAAAATTTAAGAAAATAAATCTATAACTTTGTATACCTTCTCATTTAGTCCAGATACTTTAAACATATTTTTATCATAATGAGCATACACTTGTGCTTTTTTCACCAAACACTGCATTATAAACATTTCTGTTACACAAGCTTTATAATTATAACATTTGATAGCTGCCTAAAAATGTTCCACAATAGATTTGACTCATCCACCCCTGCTGTTGAACAGCATGTCAATCTCAAGGGTGACAGTGAAATGAACATCTCTGGGCATACAGGATGTTTTTCTTCTGTCAGATTATTTCCTGAGGTTAAGTGCACAGGAATGGGCTTACCATCAAAGAGCATCAACATTTCTAAGCTCCTTCATATATCATTGGCAAACATTTTAAATCAAGTGCTTTATAATCCCAAATCAGAGAAACTAAGAATAGTACAGTTACGGACCCAGTAAGAAAATCGGATTTTCAGACAGGTTATGGAAGACATCAGGTAGAATATCTGAAAGCACAAATGACAAAAGAAAAAACAGATAAGTTGGACGTCATCAAAACTAAAAACCTGTGTTCTTCAAAGGTCATCATCAAGAAAGTGAAAAGAGAGGCAATCCACAAAAAGAAAAAAAAAGATTTGCAAATCATATATCTGGTAAAGTATACCCAGATTATAAAAAGATCTCTTACAACTCAACCATAGAAAGATAATTTTTAAATGAGTAAAGGATTTGAACAGACGTTTCTTCAAAGAAGATATACAAATGGCCAGTAAGCACATAAAAAAGTGCTTAACATCATCAGTCATTAGGAAAACACAAATCAAAACCACAATGAGATAATACTTCACATCCACCAAGACGGCTATAATTATAATGACAGATAACAAGTGTAGGTGAGGATACAGAGAAACTAGAGCCCTCACATATTACTGATGAAAATGTAAAATGGTGTAACTACTTTGGAAAACTGTTTGGCAGTTCCTCAAAATGTTAAACAGAGTTGCCATAAAATCCAGCAATTTAATTCACAGGTATATACTCAGGGTAAATGAAAACATGTCCCCCCCAAAATGTGTACACAAATGTTCACAGCAACATTATTCAATTAATAGCCAAAAGGTGGAAACAACCCAAATGTCTATCAGCTGATGAATGGGTAAATTAAATATGATATATCCACACAATGGATTATTAAGCCATAGAAAGGAATGAAGTTCTGACACATGCTGCAACATGGGTGATCCTAATGTTCAGTGAAAGAAGTCAGATGCAAAATGTCACATACTGTATGATTCCAATTATATGAAATGTCCAGAAGAGGCTAATCCATAGAGACAGATAGATTAGTGGCTGCCAGGGACTGAGGGTAGGGGAGAAGGGGGAGTGACAGCTAATGAGTCTCCAGACAATGAAAATGTTCTGAAATTAGATAGTGGGGATGGCTGCACTACTCTGAATATGATAAAAACCTCAGAAAGGACATCACACCCAAGAAAGGTAGAGGACAGCAAATTATAGCACTCAGTTCTATAGAAGAAGGTCAGCATTTACATTTCTAAGGTATCAGTGTTGGTGACACCATTCTGTGCTACTTCCTGACTCACCTTGGTATTATTTACCGCAGCCCTAGAGAAGCAGAACAGCAGTGGCTGTGAACATCAGGTTTGTCAGGAGAGAGAGGAGAGATGCAGACCTCCCATCTGGAAGCAGCACCAACACAAAGGAAAAAGCATGAACACACCAGAAGGCCAGGCAGCAGAACTCAGGAGCAGCTAATTGCAGAGCCCTAGCGACATAACACAGGCACAGGGCCAGAACGGCTATTTGTAATGGGGACTGGGTTTCACCGAGGAAAAGGCAAATAGTGTTCCTGGTATTTTACTTACTAAGGCTGAGAAGCAGACAACATGAGGATGAATTTGATTTTTGTCAATGGTCCCAGTGTCATTCAAAATTGTCTCGGCCAGGTATAGTGGCTCACGTCTGTAATCCCAGCATTTTGGGAAGCCAAAGTAGGAGGATCATTTGAAGCCAGGAGCTTGAGATTAGCCTGGGAAAGATAGGAAGACCCCATCTCTACAAAAAAAATTTTTTTAAATAAGTCGGCCACAATGGTGTGCGCCTGTAGTCTCAGCTACTCAGAAGGCTGAGGTGGGAGGATCACCTGGGCCCAAAAGTTTAGAGTTACAGTAAGCAAGGATGGTGCCACTATACTCCAGCCTGGATGACAGAGCGAAACCCTGTTTCTTACAAAAACAAAAAAAAATTAAGTCTCAAATTAGCCCTAAATTATCATTCAAATAAATGACCAAGGAGGGTAGCACTGCTAACTATGCTCTGGATAGATGGATCATTGACTACGGGCAATTACCAAAAAGCAGTAGTAGCGGCAGTAGCACCCACAGCCAGTGTTTACTGAGTGTTTCATATTGCTGGAAGTGCTTTTATACACATTTCCTCATTTCACTCATAAACCCAAGAAGAGGCACTATAGTCATTCCCATTTTACAGACAAGGACAAGGTGCGGAAAAGTGCAGTAACTGCCTGAAGTACACACAATCAGGAAACAGCAGAGGCTGCATAAGAACCTAGGCAGTCTCGCTCCAAAGCCTGCAACTTCAACCATTCCACACAGTGAGCTCTCCGAGAAACCTCCGGATTGTTGCAACAAGGGCTGCAGACCTCTTGAAGTAATATTTTCCCCCAGCATTTATTAGGAAAATTTTAAACAAACAGCAAAGTTGAAAGTGACTGACAGTTGAAAGAGGTTGAACACCCATATCCCCACCACGTGGATGCTTACTAAGGTGGCTGTTTTTAGCAACATTACCCATTTAGGTAAGCTTGGGTTTATTTGTTTTTTTTTTTGTTTTGTTTTTTTTTTTTTAAGCCAGAGTCTCACTCTGTTGTCAGGCTCGAGTGCAGTGGCGTGATCTCAGCTCACTATAACCTTTGCATCCCGGGTTCAAGCTATTCTCCTGCCTCAGCCTCCTGAGTAGCTGGGATTACAGCCAAGCACCATCACATCCAGCTAATTTTTGTATTTTTTAGTAGAGACAGGGTTTCACCATGTTGGCCAGGATGGTCTCGATCTCTTGACCTCATGATCTGCCCACCTGGGTCTCCCAAAGTGCTGGGATTATAAGCGTGAGCCACCAATCCTCGCCTGTTATGTATTTTTAAAGGAGTTAAAAGTGGTACTTAAAGAGTAAAGTTCCAATTACCTAGAAAATCATTCGTCCAAAAGACACTCATAGAGCACGTCTGATAAATGAAGCACTATCATGTGGAAACATGCTATTTTCTAAGTTAAGCCCTGGTGAAGTAAGCTGATAGAAATGTAAGGTGCTGCCAAAGAGATTCAGAAGGAAAGGCCAGGTGACAACTGCATTTTGTCAT